TATATATATACATACATCTATATATATATATAGATATGTATATACATATACATGTATGCATATATATGTATATACATATACATGTATGCATATATATGTATATACATATACATGTATGCATATATATGTATATACATATACATGTATGCATATATATGTATATACATATACATGTATGCATATATATGTATATACATATACATGTATGCATATATATGTATATACATATACATGTATGTATGCATGTATGCATATACATATACATGTATGCATGTATGCATATACATATATACATATCCATGTATGCATATACATACATACATATCCATGTATGGATATACATACATACATATCCATGTATGGATATATATACATATCCATGTATGGATATATATACATATATACATATACATGTATGGATATACATATATACATATACCTGTATGGATATATGTACATATATACATATACATATATCCATACATATATACATATATATCTATGTATATACATATATACATATATATATCTATGTATACATTTATTTTACAACAATGGCAAAATCTTGATTCTGAAGAAAATAAGAATGTAACTTTTCAATTTATGTATATATATATATATATATATATATAAGTATACAAAAATATACACATATATTTATAATAAGAGAATAGCATAAGAAATTGGCTTGCATATCACATGATTCCAATGATTTACAAATCTAAGACCTAAAGTTTGTTTTTACAGCATAACGCTTTGGGTCTCATAATCAGATGCATAAACATACAGACCGCCCAATTCCTATGTATTTATATATCCTAACAACTAAACATTGCTTTTTTACATTCATACCACTCAAATATTTCATATAACATCAAATATCATTACTTCAACAACCAAACACTACTTATTACATTCATACCACCTTTTCCAACTTTAAATAGTTTATGTAAATTTATTAGGGCATTTACATACATACCACCCAATTCATATGCATTTAGGTATCTTAACAACCAAACATTCTTTTTTAAATTCATATCACCCAATTCTTTCATATAACAAAAAAATACCATTATTTTAAAATGAAATACACCATTTCATGAATAGGTAAGGTGTCATAAATATATATAGAAATTAAGTGGTATGTATGTAAATCATCCAAATTAGTCATCCAAATTAGTTGGTATTTCTGCTAATTTTTAACGGTTCTCTTGTAGTGAATGATAACATTGCTCCTAAATGAGCAAACCTAACTTTGGAGTTTCTAATGAGACTCTAACCTTTACAGCAAAAAGCACTTCATTGTTTAAGAGTTTAGCTTCATCATACCCAAAGGGTTTTACAATCTTCCCTATTTAATTAAATCAGCATCCTCGTTAGTTAGTTTTCTTATCCCAAAATCATCCCCTAGGTAGATATTCCTATCTTCATATTGGTATACTGCTTTGATACTATTTATGACAACATGAACTCTCATCAATCGATATATTGTTTGCTTGACATAATGGTCGCACGATTTTGCACCATCAGCGAAACTTCTCAGAAGGTCACACATCCCAAGATTGCTCCAGCATGAGCGCGACTAATCTGATGAGATTCCATCATTTACTTCGCGTCTCGGTGTTTAACAACTTAGCTTCATTCTAATTAAATGTTTAACACATACCACACAAAGTTTATAGTTGAATCCTAATTCATCCACAGATTCACACCACCAAAGAAAGAGTTAAAAGAGTAAGTAGAGCATGAAAAATAAAGGAAAATGAGATCCTTCATGTGTTATCCCCAAAATTTGTAATGATCCCCATATTTATAAGAGGATTTAGTTTTACATTTCAAATCAAGTATGCATTACATTCAAATCTTTGATCTATCATTGACATCCTCTTTTAGTATGGGATAAGTGTTTCTTATCAATCAACTCTAAGTCGTTAGGCAAGATGATCTTTTTGAGAGAGTTGTTGAGCTAACTTGGTCGAACATCTGCGCATCGGTCACCATATGCAAGCTATCTCGCATCACTTATTAGTTGAAATAATTGATTGTGTTGATTTATCTAATCGGCTTGGCAGCTCATACTCTCATCTATCTGATAACTAGTCAACCCACCATAGGCAACCGGTGCTTTGCTGCTCTTATTCCTCAGCTCATCAGCTTGGAAGGGGAACTTAACAAGGTAGCTCGTTAGTCAGTCGGCCCTATGAGCATTCATTTATGTATTTACGTATCAAACATCTAAAGTTTGATATTTACATTTATAGCACGATAATGTCATAAAGTTATACATGAAAATATATATTTTATATTTTAAAAATTAGTAGTTATGGTATTTTGGTGTGATGTTAAAGATTTCAGTTTTATGTATGTAAATATGGTCTAATTATTGGGCGCGGAGAGCGGATCCACTGTCATACAACCGCGATGTGCGGTTGTGATCGGAGAGCCCACGCAGCTCTGCGTGCGCTCTCCGCACGCAATAATTGCTCGTAAATATGAAAGTTCAGATCTTGGATACGTAAATATAAAAATTATGAGGTATGTGTTTGAGTACCCCCCTTATTTGTTACAAAATAAAATAAAATAAAAAATAATAATAATAATAATGCTGTCAAAAATAATTTTCGGGTGGTCAGCAAAAAATTAGGTCAGAATAAATATAATAAAAAAATAAGAAAATTACTTGCATACCACATAATTTTTATGTTTTTACATATCTAAAATTTAATATTTACATTTCGAATAGATCGGTGAAATTTTTTACTAGAAAAGCTATATTTCATTTTAAAATGTTAGTGCTGGTAGGGGTGTAAATGAACCGAACACAGACAACAGAGTTGTGTTCGTGTTCGGTTCGCTTGAAATAAGCTCGTGTTTGACATTATTCGTGATGCCAATGTTTGTGTTCGTTTCTTAACGAACGAGCCGAACATGAGCTGTTCGCGAACGATGAGCCAGTTTGACATCCCTAATATTAATATATATAAATAATATATTATATTAATTGTATAACTTATATTATATAAATACTAATATATTACTAATATAGTATATTAATATATTATTATTATTATTAATTTATTATATATTATAATTTATAAAATTTAATTTTTTAAAATATCATAAATTTTTTTATATAATTATTTTAAATTATTTTATATTTCGAACAATAACGATTTGTACATGAACAAACGTATCATTGTTCGTGTTTGGTTCGTTTAACTAATCAAATGAAAAAAAATTGTTCATGTTCGTCTCGTTTACTTATCGAACTAATCGAACACAGACTCATTGACGAACCGAACACGAACTGTTCGCGAACAACGAGTTTTTTTGACAGCCCTAAGTGCTGGTAGGTTTTTTATGGATATTTAAAATTTGAGTGTTATGGATGTAAATAAAATTGTATAGATATTAGCTATGTAAATACAAAAGAATGGCGTGGTATGTATGTAAATACCCCGAAAATAAATTAATTGACATCCCGGCTTAATTCGAAATCCCAACTCCCAGGAAGAAGCCTGTACGGGATTCGCATGTTTTTCTGCGCCCATTAGGTTTTCTGAGCCGCGTTTCTTCACCGCTTCTTTCTTCTTTAATCCAAATCTTAGCCATAACATCGCCTCCAGCGAACCTCTGGTCCGATTCGCCATCTTCGACTGGCTGTAGAGCTACAACTGCGCCGTGCGCCGTATGCTTCGGATAACACTTTCCCTTGTCTTCCGTCCGGGTACTTTTCTAGTGGACATTGCTCCATAATTAGATTTTGATGTTATACGAATTGTTGCATTTCTAAATTTGTTATTTTTCTTGATAAAAGAATGGATTTACAGTCGTAGGGAATGGGGGAGAACTTTTTCCCCCATTAAGCCATCATTTTTTAGTTAAATGCGGCGTGAGAACTGATATTTATTGATTGTAAGTAATGTCTGAAAGGCTCAATTTTGTAATATGAAGGAAATGCTTCAAGGCGATAGATAATTTTAATGTTATCATTGTTTCATCATGTAATTGTTGAAGCAAATTGTAATTTGTCAGAGAATTTGTTGTTTTGATCCAAAGCACGTCCTACTAGTGGTGTAACAATATATATAATTTTCCTCGGGAATTGATAGCATATATCTTTTTTATTCATGTTCTTCAAACTCCCTCTAATAATCTTCTATAAGTATCATGTGATATTAGAGCCCAAAATCTCAAACTACTACACGGCCAAAGAGATTTCTAGCCCCGCCGTCTCGCTGACTACTTGCCCCTCATTTGTATTCATCAACCCAGCAGCCACAACAGAAAAAGTGCTTTTTTTGCAGCTAAAATTGTGAGTAAAACTCAATATGGGACTAGAATATGATTTCCAAATGCTTGTCGGAAATGCAAACAATCACACAAGAAAGTCATTGAAAAACTTGTTGCATAAAAATAATAGAAGTAATTTTATAGTAACAACCATATAATAAAATGCAGAGTTTAACGCGCAACATTTTAGAAATAATAATATCGTTATGCGGTGTTTGGGTGCAACTTGGTTTTATGTTAAATAGGATTTTCAGTAAATCCTAATTTATCAAACACTGTGCTGACGGAGTTGGAGCTCGTGAGTGACGACAGAGTAAATCCCTCAAATTCTCCCCTCAATCAGATTTTGTAAATCTAGAGTCACATCTTAAAAGAGACGGAATGCCAGAAACAAATACAGAATTTGAGAAATTTTGATTCAACAGAGCGTTGGATTTAATTTTCATTTTCTTAGTATTTGGCTGGATTTACCTTAAATTCATGCTTAAATCCTATTAAAACTATGCTACCAAACACCCCCTAGAACATAGAATAATTGAACATTTCATTAAACCGATAAAAATGTATTGGAATACAAAAGTTAACTAGAATTCACAAAATACAAAGGCAACTCCTAAACCTTCCCTGCCTTCTCTTTCTCCTCTTCCCTCCTATTCTTCTGTTGTTGACTGCTACTCCTTTTGGGATCTCATGTCCTACAGCTCAACTTGCAACGCAATGATCTGAAAAATCTAAGTAGTGTTCTATGAATTTTAGGCAGATATTTGAGGATTTTAGGCACCCAATCGCGTTTCCATATGTCTTGCAAATATTGTGGTTTTTATAGCATACTCTCATTGATCACTCAAGTTCATAGTCAGAAAATGAATGCCATACAAAGTATTTCGTGCCCCATGCGCCTAGCCCATATATTATTTATTTCTTCCCTTCTATTGCTTGCTATCAAAGATAGTACTCTAACAGCTCAGAAAACCTTCTAAAAAACCTTCCACTGCAGGTGTCTGACTCTAAATTTACTTAGAAGCTTGAAGTCTGTTTAGAAATTAAAATATTTATAATTATTAATGTATTTCTCAAATTTTATTGATTTAAATGTATTTACATACTTATGTATGCTTGCTTTGTTTACCCACTATTGATCTCTCCAATGTTGATGTGTTCTTATGTGTAGTTCTACAGAGTTGGTGTCTCTTCCTTTAAGGTATAATACTATAACTCCAAACATCACCATATCGATGCCAAACAACCATAAAACTATTATAACTACACCCACTACCCATCATATGAAGACCTACTCCAATATAAAATTTTTAAACCTACCACCATGCTCTTTTTTATTCCCACCAAAATTTCCTTACCAGACTCTTTTGAATTTATCCTATCCCAAAAAGCCCTTCAGCATCTCAGATGGTGAGATGCTGTGTTTGCTTTGAAAAAGTCCGTCAACAAAATAACACATGGTACTTTGTCCCATAACAATCACATAGAAATGTGGAGCATTGTAAATTTGCCTTCCGAATTTAATGCCATCTGGATAGTATTATTGAATGTATTTGGCTGACCACGTTGCCCAGGGTTCCATCAACTACCTTTAATCTACTTCACTGAAACTTCCAATCCAATTATCGAACCCACAACTATTTGTGTTGTATTGAGCATTGTAATCTCCCAACAATGACTAGTTCATCAACCCACTGTCAACAATGTATCTTCTTCATAGAAACTCATCTTACGTTGTCTTCATGGCTCAGACACATGGCATAAGTGAATAAAACTTGCACATAATCATTCTATTTATGGCCACAAATAGGCCCCTTATGCATGGTTTGTCGAGCTCATGAGCTTTGTTCTTTCATTGGGCTTTATTATCATCATTTTGGATCCATAATTGTTCACCTATATTCATAAGTCAACGGGTTTTTGTTACACCCGTAACACGAATGGTCCAAGAGGGACCAATCAAATGCCATCCCACCAGCCCGCCAAACCAACGGGCAGGTCGATCTTGTTTGCGTGAAGAGGTGGAACAACATGTTGCCGCAGAAGAAGATAGAGAGAGGGTGGGGTCCACGAGAGGCTTAATTACATACTCAAGGAGAAGAAATTAAAACGGGTTTGGAGGGAAAGTGAAAAAGAAAAATTTTTGAAGGTTGTGGGAGTATTCTTTAAGGGGAGTAACCTATGGTTTGTTTTTCTTTAGACATTATTTTGTTGGTTGTTGTGTTTTCTTATTTTGGTGGTATTCCTAGCGACGTCTGTGATGTGGGAGAGCCCATCTACCTATCGAAAAATAGATCATATTTTGTATCTAGCTTTTTATATTTGTTTTTCTTAAGAGCAACCCCTTAGTTGACTTATTTTCATCTATCATCGTTTTGATATTGTTGCTTGCTGATTTTGAGTCTAGAGCTTATCAAATTGATATCAATGCCTAGATCTTGGTGGGATGACAACTATTTTCTCAAAATTGATCTTAAGTCGGGATATCACCAGATTAGGATGAATCCAGCGGATGTGCACAACACAACGTTGATACATGTAGGACACTATGAGTTCTTGGTAATGATGTTTGGTCTCACCAACGCCCTGATGATATTTCAGTCTCTTATGAATAGGGTTTTTCAACCTTACCTCCGGAGAATTGTCCTAGCCTTCTTTGATGACATTTTGATCTACAGTCGTACAGAGACACAACATGTGGGCACCTAAGGACAGTTTTGGAGACGTTGAAGGAGCACCAGTTGTATGCCAACTTGAAGAAATATTTTTTTGCACTGTTACAGGTGGAGTGCCTAGAGCATGCGATGACCAAAACGGGGGTAGTAGTAGATCAATCCAAGATCGAGGCTGTGGTTGAGAGGATTCATGGGTCTCACTAACTACTACTGGAAGTTCGTGAGAGAGTATGACACAGTAGCATGACCACTAACAGAGCAAAGTTGAAGAAAGACAATTTCAAATGGGGAGAAGCAGCAACACAAGCCTTTGGACATTTGAAGCGGTCATGACTAGCGTATCAGTATTAGCATTTCCAGATTTCAGTAAACTATTTGTGGTGGAGACGGATGTGTCAGGGTACGGATTGGGAGCGGTGCTCATGCAGGATCAACGGTCGATTGCCTACTTCATTCATGTTCTTATGGCCAGAGTGAGGCTAAAGTCAGTATATGAACGAGAATTGATGACAATTTTCTTGGTCATTCAAAAGTCACGACCCGGTTGTGACGAATTTTTTTGGTCAGGACAGATCAGAGGAGCTTAAAGTATCTTCTGGAGCAACGGATGGTGACCGAGGAGCATCAGAGATGGCTATCCAAGCTACTGGAGTATGATTTCAAGATTCAGTACCGACCAAGATTGGAGAACAAGACAACTGACGCACTGTCGAGAAAGGTGGAGAAACTCCATTTGACGACCCTATCATTATCATTAGTCCTAGATTTGGAAGCCTTGAGATAGAAGAGCAAAAGGGATGAGGAACTAGGGAAGATGAGAGCCAAGTTACTACGGGATCCAAATAGTCGTCCAGGATATGCATTGAGTGGATAGTGGCTGCTCCAGCAGGGGCGGTTCGTGCTACCCAAATCTTCAGAGTATATTTCCATATTATTACCAGAGTTTCATGGAAGTCCGATCGGAGGACACTCGGTGATGCAAAAGTCCTACAATCGTCTGACTGCAGAATTTTATTGGGTGGGGATGCGCAGAGTCGCAGATGACATGTTAGCAAAATGTGATGTGTGTCAATGACACGGGTACAAGTGACGATGGATTTTATCTAGGGGTTTTTACAGTCAGAAGGATTCACAGTATTATGGTGATTTTGAATAATCTAAGTAAGTATGCACATTTCATTCTCTTACGACATCTCTGCACTGTGGTCTTAGTCGCAACAGTATTTATCCTGTAAATGGTCTGTTTGCACGGGGTGTCGGAATCGATTGTATCGGATAGGGACAAGGTGTTCCTCAGCCCTTTCTGGAAGGAGTTATTCAAACAATCCTTAAGAGAAGAACCACATATCTTCCTCAGACGGATGGACGGACGAAGTGGTCAACCGGAGTGTGGAAACATATCTGCATTGTTTTGTATCTGACTCAACGAAGCTATAGGTTAAGTGGAATGCATGGGCAGAATATTGGTGTAATAATTCGTACCACGCCTCAACACAGACAACCCCTTTCAAGATATTGTATGGCCGGTATCCACCTCATTTGATGCATTATGGGCATAATACCACGTCGGTATCCAGTCTCAATTAGTACTTGGAAGAGAGGGACAGGATGCTAGCAGAGCTCGATGGGTATTTATTGAGAGCTCAACAAATCATGAAGAGAAAGGCAGACAAACATAGGAGAGAGGTGCAATTCGAGCCCGGAGACATGGTCTATTTGAAGCTGAGGCTCTACCGATAGAAGACATTGGCCAAGAGGAGAAACGATAAATTGTCACCGTGATGTTTTGAACCTTATGTGGTGATGACACGCATCGGTGCAGTGGCCAACCATTTGAAGTTATCACCATTGTCCACACTACATTCGGTCTTCCATGTATCACAACTGAGACATACGATTAGAGATCATACACCCTTATCCATACTACCACCGATGCTGATGAAGGACTTGAAGGTGATTTCGGATTTGCTAGAAATCAAAGGAATGAGCTGAGGAGTATGGGGAGCGAAGGAGATATTGGTCAACTGGAAAGGACTGTCAGACTATGAAGCAACATGGGAGTCTTACGAGGTGATCCCCAAGCAGTTTTCATTCTTCTTTCTTGAGGATAAGATACTTTTTTTGGAGGGGAGTAGTCTTACGGCCGTAATAGGATCGGTCTGGGAGGGACCAGTCGAATGCCATCCCATCGACCCGCCAAACCAACAGGCAGGTTGATTATGTTTGCATGAAGAGACGGAGCGGCATGTTGCCGCAGAAGAAGAAGGCAGTGATAGGGTGGAGTCCACTAGAGACTTAATTATATAATCAAGGAGGAGAAATTAAAACAGGTTTGGAGGGAAAGTGGAAAAGGAAAGTTTTTGAAGGTTCTGGGAGGAGTCTTTAAGTGGAGTAACCTAGGGTTTATTTTTCTTTAGGCATTATTTTGTTGGCTGCTATGTTTTCTTATTTTGGTGGCGTTTCTAGCGACGTCTAGGGTGTGGGAGAGTCGTTCTACTTCTTGAAAAGTAGATCATCTTTTCCATCTTGCTTGTTTGCATTTGTTTTCGGAAGGGCCGACCGGAAGAGCAGCCTTTATTTGACTTATTTCCATCTATCTACCGTCGTTTCGTTGTTGTTGCTTGCTGAGTTTGAATCCGGAGCGTATCAGTTTTCTATGTCGTGATTCATGTCAATGTTCTACACATCACTAGAAACTCATCATCAAATGTTCAATATGCCATTAGTGCCATTGCTCGTCAGTTCCATTAAGGGTCCCAAAGAGCATCAATATTTTATTGGGGTTGCAGCAATCTCAACTACCAATGGCTTCTACCTCTCTGAACATTCCTATGCTCATGACCTTCTTGAATAGTTTCATATGTATGGTAAAGGAAACAACACACCTATAAACTCATCCACTCCTATCTAGCTCCATCTAAACGGCTACAACAATGCCTCAAGAGTGCAATCGCTCATGGTTTATTTATTTGTCCTTCACTCAAACACTGAAATTCCATTTTGTTTGTGAAAAGTGATTGATGGTTCTCTAACAATCTCACACATCTCAACACATAATGAACTCGCCGATATCTTCACCAAGATGCTTGGCATGTCATGCTTCAACACTTTTTGATCCAAGATTGGTGTCTTCAATAGAAGCCACATCTTACGAGGGCATGTTAAGAAAATAATTCTAGACAATAAATCGTATTATTGTTTTTATTATTTCATCATGCAATTCTTGACAAAAATTTAATAACTTATAGCTTTTATTATTTCCATCTAATGTGACTCCTACTAATGGCTGTAATGATTCATACAATTCAACCTCCATCTAATATTTTCACAGAACTCTTGTACTCCAATAATAATTTTATCTCTCAACTACTGTATGTTTGACTAAATTTTATTCATTTAAACATGATTATGGTATCTAAGATGATAAAGACTGTAATCTTTCAGTTTACTATCATTTATTATAATTGTCGTGTCCTTACATCTAGATGTTACGAGAAGTCAAGCTTTTATCAAAGGGGATTTGAATGCCATTTATAATTATTATTTAGAATTGTTCAGCCAAACCAATTGATATTTTCTAGTAATATAAGATTGCATGGTAGTGTCAGGTAATATAATAACACCTAGATCAATATTTTGTTTTACCGATGATATTTGACAACGTGTTAATGATATCAGAATTGCATTTTTTTATATATTAATTTTCTTTGAAGATAGCAGCAATATGTATGGTCGTATGAATTAAGCTGGTTTGTTTTACAATTGGCTACAATTCATGAAACTTTTGTTTGTGGAGTGGTGAAGAGCACTATTATGAGGCTAAGTAGCCAAAGTTTATTAGATGCATTCAATTCATCAAGTAAGCATGTGGTTTTAGTTTGCTGTTTTCTGGTGGATAGCCTTTTGGAACTATCATGAAGTCTAAAATTTATTCCTTTTGTGATTCTAGTTTTTTTGTTTCTATGAGTGAAGTACCATGATAGTCCTCTGATTGTTTGTATGCGGTCATTTTTAACTCGGAGCCTTTAAAAGTGTCAATTTAGTCTTTAGAAATTTTTAATGTGGATGAAATAGCCCTTAGTTTAAAAAGTCTGGATACTAATTTGATACTTTTATAGACTTTAGGACTAAAGTAACCCCATGTAAACAATCAGGGGACTATTTGTCCACTTCAATAAATTCTATAAATGGATATCCTTGATATTCTTCAGGAATTATCATACTATCAGGCAGTAGGAACTGAGTATAACAAACTGTAGATCTTTCATAGATTCTTTTACTAGGATAACTTATAGAGGCTTATCTTAAATAAAAATCGTTTTGTCGAGTGACGGAAGATTTTACTGATGTTTTGAGAGATACTCTTTATATTTTGACATAAGTTCACTATTCAGCCTGCTTTTCATATATTCATGGATTTGTATACTTTCATCTCCAATCTTTTGTTGATCTTTTCTGATGGTTTAGGTGGAGGCTATCTCTATTGTCTTTTGCTTAACCAGGAACGATAAATTACCAGACCAAATAATGGCTTCTAAAGGTCAATCTGTTGGTCAGGAGCCCGCACAGGGGTATGCTGATAAAAAAGTGTCCTCTTTTTCTGGAGGAATGCCTTATTGCTCAAAGAATTTGGAATCAGATACTCCACTTTCAAGGACTGAATTGGATTTTCTACATTATCCGAATGCAAATGGTTCTTCCTCAAAACCTTCTACAACATCAAACTTGAAGGAGAGCTTGAATTTACAAAATTCTACGAAGATAAAAGTTGCAACGGACGGAATGGGCAGTACCAAGCAATTCGTATCAAAACCCGTCCAATCTAGTTCATCCTCGAATTTCCCTTGTCAATCTTTCGGCTATGTTAACAAGGTATGACAAATAGAAATCTTGTTAAGTTCATAATGGTTCTTACTTTTGGCCTGGACCAAAGAAACACTTATTTCATTTAAGGATGATTTACATGCATACCACTCAATTCCTTTGTATTTACATACCTAAAAACTAAATTTTAATTTTTTCATCTATGCCACCTTACTTACCTTACTGATGCATGAAAAGGTGTATTTCACTTCTTTAAAGTCGAAGTAGTGATATTTTTTATGTGATATGAAAGATTTGGGTGGTATAAATGTAAAAAATAAATTTTAGGTGTTACATATGTTAATAGGTAGTAATTGGGTGGTATGCATGTAAATGCCTCTTCATTTAATTTATGAGATATTGAGCATCCTCCTGTTGTGAAAATTTCTTTTATTTGCATCATGCTTTTTGTTAGTTGACCAACTAAACTATAACAACAACAATAACAAGCTTTTATCCCACTAAGTGGGGTCGGCTACTTGAATCCTTATTCTCCATTGTGTTCTATTGAGTGTCATATTTTCATTTAATTATAATAAATGAAGTTTGTTTTATACAACGTGCCCAAATCTTTTTAGGTCTATCTCTACCTTTCTTAATATAAGTCAAATCTAAAACATACATTCTTTTAAATGGATCATCAAATGGTCGACATTTAATGTGACCACTCCATCTAAGATGACTCTCTCTAATCTTGTCTTCCATTGGGAGCTACACCGACCCTTTCATGGACATTCGTTTTGCATTTTGTCTCTAAGTGTCAAGCCACTCATCCACCTAAGCTCATTTCATCGACACTTAGTTTTATGCTTGTCTTTTATAGGACAACATTCTGCGCCACAAAGCATTGCAGGTCTCATCACCATCTTATAAAACTTTCCTTCAAGTCTATGTTATACTTTTCTATTACATAATAGGTCCAATGCATTCCTCCACTCCAACCATCCAACTTGAATTCTTCTAATAGCATACCCATCTTTGTCACCATTACTTTGAACAATATACCCAAGATATCTAAAATATTCATTCCTTTTAATAATTTGATCGCCCATTGTTATATTCTGTCATTAGATCTACTACTAATAAAATTAGATTCCATGTATTCAGTTTTAGATCTACTAAAACGAAGGCCTTTAATCTCTAATATAGACCTCTATAATTCAATTTTTTTCCTAAACTCTTTCTCTTGTCTTATCCACAAGAAGGATATCATCAATGAAAATCATACACCAGGTGCATCATACACCAAGATACTTTCTCTGGTAAATCTCCAGTAAGAGCTTCTATAACTAATGCAAAAGAATATGTGCTTAAAGCCGATCCCTGATGTAATTCAACAGAACTAAGAAAATACTTGGTCAATCCTCCTGCTGCTCTAATACAAGTAACAACTCTAGTATACATATCCTCAATGACTTGAATATAAGCCATATCAACAACTTCTTTTCTAGAACTCTCCAAAGAATTTCTCTTGGAACTTTATCATAAGCTTTTTCTAAATCAATAAAAATCATATGTAGATCCTCCTTACTCTCTTTGTACTTCTATATCAAATCTCTCAATAAATGTATAGCTTCCATAGTAGACTTGCCCGGCATAAATCCAAATTGATCATGAGATAAAGTAGAACTGCCAATCTAATCTGTTTGATTGAAAATAACGTGCTTCTAGTTTGATTACTTCAATCATTATAGTCTATATGTTTATGGATCTGCAGAAAGCTACTCTTTCTTATTTCCACGAATCTAATTATTTAAAACTCTTTGCATGTTTTAACATGCTTTCCTCTTAATTAAAAGCTTGCTTTATAATTTTCTGATATTTTTTTTCGTATGGACAGTCTGATGAATGTTCTTATTTTGGCATTTTTATTTTGAAGTGATCAATTAATCTTATTTTAAAACCAGTTTCAGGCTCCAAAGCATAGTTATGATAAATTTCCATTCCGAGATGCGAAGGATTACCACATCTCAACAAAGATACCCTCAGCTTCTTATCGACCACAGGACAGAAAATTTAATGGTTGCTCTGAAACTTCCACTGAATTAGTCCGCGGACCTCGTGCCGACAGAATTCACTTTCCTTCTTCTGCAGAAAAAAATGAACTGAGCCCATTAATCAGAAGAGATCAATTTAACAAATCAGATTTCGAGACTAAATATACGCATGCGAAGTTCTTTATGATAAAGTCATATAGTGAGGAAGACATTCACAAAAGCATCAAGTATAATGTGTGGGCAAGTACTCCTAATGGGAACAATAAGCTGGAAGCAGCTTTCAAGGAGGCCCAAGCAACTGTGAATGAGAATGTTCCGATGTGCCCCGTCTTCCTGTTTTTTTCGGTGAGTTTCGATATAGCGGGTTTCCTATATTTATATTGATTTATGAACTGTATTTTCACTTCAAATTATTAACCATTTTTATTTCTCTGAATTCAATCTTGCATCAAGTTTCTTTTAGTGGTATTGTGAGTTTTGAGTAAAATGTCCAAATAAGCTTTGCTTCTAGATCAATATTTAGAAAAATAATTCAAGGAAAGTTTCTGAATTTCAGGTAAATGCAAGTGGACAATTTGTTGGGTTGGCCGAGATGATCGGACCCGTTGACTTCAACAAATCCATGGAGTTTTGGCACAAGGATAAATGGAACGGTTTTTTTCCGGTGAAGTGGCACATGATAAAGGATATTCCCAACAAATATTTTCAAAATATCAGACTTGAAAATAATGATAATAAGCCTGTAACTTTCAGCAGAGACACACAAGAGGTACTACTGCCTACTTCTTGATTTAATGCATGGGCATGATTGTAAATGTTTATGTAAACAGCAACTACTTTTATTATTGTTTTGAAATTTGGGGACGGCAAAATTTAAATTTTTTTGAATGAAAAATTGCCTGCGCTCAGATAAATTTCATGAATTTATCATCTTGAACTGATTGAGTTGGATGCTTTTCTATCCTGTAGATTGGGCTTCCTCAGGGCCTAAAAATGCTGCAATTTTTCAAGGGCTACCCACTGGCAAGATCTCTGCTTGATGATTATGACTTCTATGAAAAAAGGGAGAAATTTCTGAATGACCAAAGGACAACTCAGCAACAGTTCTCCCAAACTATGTATTCTGTATGTGCTACTTCTGATCTTTCAATTTAAATATGATGATGGTTTATAAAATGTCATATTTGCATTATAATTTCTAATTTTCATTGTTGAATAGGCTTATGATTGTTATTAATTTATAATTTTTTTATTGGCAGGAGGATTGGGAGGCAGAATTTGGTCAGATGAGTATATCAGGAAACCAGTGGCCTTCATATGGCGATGCATTTTAGTCCCATCAACAATCCTTGAAATATTTCTGTGAACAATCATGTTGTACAATTTGCCGAACTTAACCTTTGGTCAAGTGTTCTTCATGAGACAATTATGTTTGTATATCTTTGCTCAATCACTTTTCTGTCAGTTAATTTTATGTGAGCCACTCTAGAGATAGTTTTTCTTTTTCTTTTTTGCAAGATTTACATGCATACCATTACATTTTGCCACTCAGTTCTTGTGTATTTACATATCTGACACCAAAACTTTGATTTTTACATGTCATCTTATCTTTGTATGATAAGGTGTATTTCATTTTTTACATGTTAAAATAACTGTTTTTTATGTGATATGAAAGATTTGGGTGCTATAAATGTAAAAAAAAAAGTTTTGGTGTAGAATGTAAATACATAAGAAGTTTAAGCTCTCGACCAGTAGGTTGAGGTTCCTTTAATTATTAAGTTAATTTTTTTGTGGATCACCTGGTAAGTCACCTCTTTTATATTTCATAAATAATGTCATTCATTTTTTTTATCATCATATATCACTAGAGGTTTAAACGAAAAGAGCTTGTCTTCATGTTTGGTTCGTTTGAAATTTAGTTTGTTCGAAATAAGCTCATATTCGAAATTGCTTGTGAAGTCACTGTTCGTAGCGAATGGCCCGAACACGAAGCGAACCCGCGCTGTTCGCGAACGACGAGCCAATTTGACATCCCTACTATATATATATATATATATATAATCTCTGTATTAGTATATTAATATATTATTATTATTAATTTATTATATATTATAATTTATAAAATTTAATTTTTTAAAATAAAATATTTTTTATATATAATTATTTTAAATTTTTCTATATTTCGAACAATAACGATTCAAACACAAACGAACACATCATTGTTCGTGTTTGGTTCGTTTAACTAACCGAACGAAAAATATTTGTTCATGTTCGTCTCGTTTACTTGTCAAACAAATCGAACACGAGCTCATTAACGAACCGAACACGAACTGTTTGCGAACAACGAGTTTTTTTTACAGCCCTATATATCACTAATCAATAATAAAAATAAATGCGACATACTTGGCCAACTAATATTTATGTACCTACGTATGTTAAAATTATAGTAAAGACTAATAAAAAGACATGATTCGATGAAAATCACTTATGTTCATAACCAGATAATAAGAATAGGTAGGGGTGTGCATTTGGTTGGTTTGGATGGATCAGCTTGTAAAATTTTCAAATCGATAGGAACCGAAATCTAAAAACCAAACAATTGATCTAAAGTAATTTTCATCAGAACCGAACCATTCAAATTGAACCAAAATTTGGTTTGATCAATCAACATAAATAAATAAATAAAAATTGATTTATTAATAATAATAAATGCATACAAATACAATGACATAATTACAACAAATCAAATTCAATTAATTAAAATAGTATGATTACAAAAAAAAAAGTTGTAAAAACAAAACCAATGGAATAAAATTCCTAAAATAATAATTAATTGATAAAGATAAAATATGAGTTACAATCTATTGAAAAACACGTGAATCAATGAAATCCTTGGCAATGTGGAGTCGTTAACTTTTTCTCTGCTTGAAGAATGATTTTGAATCTACGAACAAGGCAAATGAGAATTATCAGTGAAAGCTCAATAGAATTGTTATGTATGTGAATTTCCCAAATTAAATGTTATTCTGAACCTTATTTTATATACAACACTTGAGCATCATCATATAACCCTTGAAATACAAGTATCATGTAAAAGAGTTTGTTTAACAACTGACACATAACCTTTCATTCAAAGAATCAACTATATGTGTCTTACTGCGCATTATATTGATGAACATTGTAAATTGAGCAAAAGAGTAATTAACTTTTCTCTAAGTTATAGTCATGGAGGGAGAAGAAGTTGAAAAATGCTTAATTAATTGAGGGGTTGATGCAATTTTTACATTTTCAGTCAATAGTGCAAGTCTTATTTGCAATATATATATATAAGATGTGGGAGTATTTTGGATTGTAAGTTCTTATACATGAGATACAACACTCATATCATAAATCTAATTGTTCATGATGTGTTCTACGATTGAATGACCATGTAAATTTCCCAAATTAAAATTTTCTGCCTTTAGGGGAGTGTAGTGTAAAAAAAAGAGCATTCAAGCATAAATACCCTGGTGCCAACTTGCAAGGTGGTGAAGCCTCCCATTCTAAAAACATAACCTTCACTTTTCTTCCTCACATTCATGCTACTGAAGATTTAAGTCATTCCAGGCATACATGCTCATAACTCATAAAGTAAACTTGTTTTTCAGCACTAGAAGATTGAATGCTTTAAACCATTTAAGTTGAAACTCCATCCAAAAAATGCAAAGACCAAAGAAAAAGAAAAAAAAAAAGAACAAAAGCTAAAAAACAAGCTTTTAAAATTCTACGATATAATCATATAAAAGCTTAGGGCCCATCAAACCATAATTTGAAACCTCGTTCAAAGATATCAATTAGCATAATCCTCGTAATCTTCATGATCTTATTTTTTTTTTATGATAAAAAACAAAAAATGATAAAGACTAAAGAATAACATACACTATGTTTATTATGACAAAAGGCAATATAAGTTATTTGTTGGCTGCCTAAAACTAAACTAATATTAACAAATCCTTGCCACTTCTCACTTCCCACTCCCACCAAACTTTAAAATAGCATAAACACTCAAAATGCTATTTCTATATACAATGAAAAACAGTAAAACACATGGCCAGAAAGCAACAGAGCCTTATAACCAAATCAAATAGAACCAATAAATTTCTTAACCCTACTGCTCAGTTGGGATTGAGAAACGCATACCTTCGTTGTATAAGAAGATAGAGTAAAGAAAATTAGAACAACAACTAGAAGACGAAAGAAGAAATTTCAAAATAGAGATAGGTGAGATTCGTGGGAACCGAGATGTCCAAAAGAACCAAAACTCTTCAGGAGACTCCTGATTCCCCATTTCCACCTTTGAAGACACCTCTGCTCAGTCCCTTTACCTCGTTGAACATTTACCACCAAAGAGGAAATGCCTTTACTCGACGTAGGAGAGGGATCAAGATCCAAGGACGAGGCAGAATGGGGCGTGCGGTGTAGACTGCGCAAGGCACAAAATAAACACCAAGTAAATATCGCTCTTTGTCTCTTCGGCTCTTCGGCGCGAGAAATATTTGCGTAGAACAGAGTTGTTCTGGTGGGGGTAGGGGAGTTATATTCGGGTTATATCGGAGGTTATAAGGGGGTATAATTCAGATATAATTTTATTGTACTCCCTGAATAACCTCTGATGTACGCAGAGCTGCGTACATAAGATGTACGCAAATATTTTCCCTTTGGTGCCGCACTTTGCTATCATAAACAATTTGAGTTAAAATTTTTATAACCCGAACCATAACCATAAAACCTGATAAGGATACATTTGAAACCGTTAAGCGAACAGTTGATTCCAAAACCGATTTAAAATATCGGAACAGTTCGGTTTATTTGGATTTAACCAAATAGTGCACACCCCTAACGCAATTGACAGGACACAGAATAAACACTAAGTAAAAAATCGCTATTCGACTCTTCGGCGTCGTGCTCCGCTATTATAAACCATTCAGTTTATGGTCGGTTCGGGTTAAATTTTTTATAACCAAAATCATAATCCAAAAATCAAAAAACGAACCGTTGATTTCAAAATCGAACCAAAATATTGGAACGGTTTGGTTCATTAGATTTAACCAAATAGTGCACACCCTTTGGTTTAGTATTTCCTTTTTCATTATAAAAACCCAACTGCCACTAGGAATTAATTTGAATTCAAATCAAACCTATAACAAATGACAATAATATATCAATGAATCAAATTTTGTTCAGAAACCAAATTTGAGTAAATACAAGCAAGCGGTCACGCGAATAATCCTCCTTAACTATGCTGCAGTAATTAGCAGAGTAACACATTCAATTACCCCACTTAAATCCACTGATTTCATTTTGTTAAATCGATCATAATTTTTCAGAACAATTCTTATTCCGACACAAACTCAATCCCAACCGTCCAAAGTAAAATGCAAATCTGAGATAATTGCCAAGTAAAATACATATAATAATATAGGGCTGTCACAATGGCAAATAACTCATGTTCAGCTAATTAACTTATATTTGATTCGTTCGCTAAACAAATCAGTCGAAAAATACACGAGTTCTATTCGTTCGCTAAACAAATCAGCCGAAAACTTTTTTTTTTTTGCACTCGATATATAAATGAGTCATTGAAAAAAATTTGTTCTTTCATATTTGGCAAATTTTAACTCATGAAGCCAAGCCAAACTGCAATATATTAATATTAAATACTGCGTTTGTTAAACTAAAATTTTATTTTAATGCACAGTGCACATATTCCAAAACAAATTATAAGAACATAATAAACAGTATAGCCAAGACCACAATATCATATTAACATAATACAAACTTCGATGCAGCAATCATTCAAAATAAAAGCACTCCTACATATCTCATAATAAATAGCCCATAAACCACAACTTAAATTCAATAAGGTGCTAAATGGACAGAGCATGAACACCATTCAGCCTCCTCTTCACAAGAGATTGTTGCTTATTTTGGGCAGTGAAATCCAGCAAGTTGGCTACTATCATATCATCTACCTTGCCATTAGTATTGCCTTCATCTTCTGCATCATGAACATTCTTTCCAGAAGCTTCTTCAGTCTCAACATGTTGATTAGCTGAAGAACTCAAATCCAAAACACTAAGTTCCTCTTCAAAATCTATTAAATCCTTCCTGTCATCACTCATTTGTTGTAGCTTCAATGTATGATTGCTGCTTTCGAAATCTGCATCGAGTAACGAAACGGTTTCCTTACGATGAGCTAGTGCTTCTAACCTAATATTTCTAAACACCACAAGGATATAACCAAGGCTGAAGTTAATAAATCTAAACAGCAGAAGATGAAGGGTTTTGTAGCTAGCAACTGCGCTTCTGATGACGGAGCAGAGCGTCGGTGCTGGTTTCATCCGAGTTATTTGGATTTGATTCAGTAAGTGGGGTATGCAGCGGTTCACGGAGGCTTCCTGTCTACAGAAATAGACAATAATGTGAAAGTCTTGAGTGATGCGTGATTATTGAAGGGAGAGAAGGCACTTACAGTAGAACTTGAAGTCACAAATGGACGAGCTATGAATCCAAGTCCTAACCCACACAGCAAAGCTACAGCTGCTATTACGGACACAGGGATGGCTCCCAGACCTGCAATAAATATCGATGTAATAAAAATGAAGCCGTTTAACAAAAGAAATATTTCACGTGCATTGGACATCATTAGTTGTGGGAAAAGGTTGGAATATTAAATTTATCAAAATTGATAATGGTGGAGTTTAGAAAGATAAAAAAATGGACTTGGATCGTATGACTGATGGTTTGAAGCAGGTTTCTTTTTTCATAACTTCTTGCACTTAGAGTAATCACGAGACTTTCGTAGTTACAATAAGTTTCCTGGAAAAAAGTCCTTTGTGCAGTGCCCTACCTAGATGCCAAGGACACTTCACCTAGAAGCCCCCAAGGCACCGACAAGCGGCTCTGCACCCGGTACGCGAGCACCACACAACAGCACAACGAAGCAAGCATCGCACCCTGTACGCAAGCGACTTCGAAGGCCATTGTGCCTCGGTAGGATCGCTATTCCCCATGGGCAGCCGAGGCCAGTATCGGCAGGGAGGCAAACACCACACAAAGTGGAAAAAACCCGATCAAGTTTTTTCCATGGTTTGAAGCAGGTAATATGGAGATTAGTTTATATGCAGACTTCTTTAAAAATCATTACATTTTTTTTTGGAAACCAATGATAAATAAAGGATCAAATTTATGCATCGTGTGTGCGTGTGCGTGCGTAACTTTTGATCTTAGAATATTTGGGCTCAATTAAGATATACTTGGTTTTCATATTTAGCCAATGCATTTAATTGATATAAATTGTTTAGATAATCTCATGACTTTCATGAGTAGTCTTTTATGTGTTGTTATACTTGATTAATTTCATATCAAACAGTTTATAAAAATTGATTATCTTCATGACCAAGTTGAGATACACTTGAATAGCATTTCCTCAGTTGGTACTATAATCTCAAGTTTAATTCTTAATAGTTGGTCTTTTCTCTTTAATATTTAATAATTTCATTTGATATTAGAGATATGAAACATTTTTCTTATAGGATATTCTTAAATTTCATTTCTTTTTTAATGCTATTTATTCTTAATGAGTATTATCTTTGGAAGGATGATATTATTTGTATGTAGGCAATTTAATCCAAGTGCATCACATTTCACCAATTTAGCCAGATTAAACCAAAATCGATCCCAAATAATCCCCTGGGTAAACATTGACAAAAATTGGAATGAAAATTGATCTTAATTTAGCTGCTCGATTATACAAAATTGATACAAATTTAATCTCTAGCGGACCATTTGGAGTCAATTTTAAAAGGTCAATGGGTTAAATTCAAGATATGAGATATTTTGGGAATAAACTAACCACATAAGAATAATTGAGAGATTATTTGGTCTTTTTCCCTTGAGAGTTTATACGTCAGACAAATTAGCAATAAAACCATGAAACTTAAAAGAACTTTTCATATGAAATGTAATGATAAAATCAATGTTTGGTGCAATTCCGTCTTTCCTGGATGTAAAAGGAATATTAGATCATCCTTGTCATTTTTACCATGTGAATCGACGGTAAGACTCAAATCGGACATTGGGTTTAAATCAAGAAAAATGTTTTGTTCCACCATTTCAATTGAATTTTTCGATTGACTGGAATATATGATCCATTTATAACTTGTATGTAATATTTGAAGCTTTTGATGAATGAGATTCAGGTGAGTAGCATTCAAGCAGGTTTGAAAGTGGTGTAAGCTGAGCTAGAATAGAAAAACACCTTCGAATAGTCATAGCTATCACCCCAGACTGAGTATTAGCAACAACAAAAAAAGATTGGCTTTTGAAAAAGATCATATTCATGTAAGTGTGATATTTTATAATTATTGTGAGAAAAGCATTATTAACTTTTAGTTGATAAAAGTAACCAATAAAAATGCGTTTAACAGCATTTAGGTCAAGCTTGCTTCTTCGAAGAGAAATATGCACAAAAACGAGTAGCCAAACCTATTGAGAGAAATGATGAAGTAATTCTCGGATGGCCAGTGTGAGAGTTTGATAAAGAGTACTAAATTTAAGAATTTTTTTTGTTATATAATTGATCGCACATGCAGCAGTAAACACAGAACTCATCCAATAACATTTTAGGATATCACTAATAATAAATATTGATCGAATAACCTCCAAAAGACGTCTATTTTTCCTTTCTTTTATACTATTTTGTCAAGTAAGAAACAAAAACATTAGTGAATAGTAACTGGATAAAATGGATAGTCACCAAAAATGGAATATAAATATTCATTCCCATTCTCAATCCTTAAAAATTTAATCTGAATTTTAAATAGGTTTGTATAAAAGGGTGATCTTTTTTTTTTTGAAAGTTAAACAACTTGGCTTTCATTAGAAAAATCCAAATGATTGCAGTAAGATCATCAATAAAAGAAATAAATCATCCAACTCTCGGGATTTTATTAACCTGCAATGAACCCCAAATATTACAATGGGTGATAGCAAACGACGGAGGCTTTATACATAGATGACTCGGGTAGGTTTTCTGTGTGATTTGATAGTTGGCAAACTTCAGAATAGAGAGCTTTATGTGTTGATGAATAGGTTGGGGAACAATCTTTAAGGTACATGAAATAGGGATGTCTAGAACAAAAGTGTCATAATATTACTGTTCTTACATTAGAGAAAAATACATATCAATCGTATTTTATTCATCATTTGAAATTTTCTTCAACATTCAAGAGGTAGAGGCAAACATTTCCTTAGCATTTCTAATTATTCTTCCAGAGACCATATCCTAGAAGTCAGAATGAGTTGAAAGAAACTTAATTGCACAATTCATATCTATGGTTCTTTTTTATTAATAATAGATTGCAAACAAGCTTAGGAATCAAAAGAGCTTAATTAAGAATCTGAGAGCTAATTACATTGATAATCACAATGGCATTTATTTGAGATAAAAAATCATCAGCAATTTTGATTGAATGGTTTTTTAAATAATGATGCAAGGTGTGACAAAAAAAAAGACATTTTCTATCATATGATCCGAGCCTCCAGAATCATAGATCGAAGACTGGATTTTATTTTGGACACTAAAGACATTAAAAAATATAACCTTTAAAAAAACTGCAACAATGTTGATGTCAAAAGTGAAGGAATTTGATTTAAGTTGTATGAGGAAGGATTCAAATTTTGAGAGGATTTGAGAGAAAAAAGAATAGCTCAAATGTCATCTTTTAAAAACCGATCAATGGTATTTTTTTCTTATTATAATAGATAGAACAGTTACAGAATTTATATCATATACAAGGACTAATTAGAGGATATAGAGTACAAAGCACATATTTAGGGAAACAAATACACATAATATCATGCCCCGTTACATGGAAGTAAGTTACTATGAGAATATAGGAAATCATGATATTTGATTTCAGCATGTGCAAAATCTTCCTTGATTGGCATTAGCAATCCAGCAATTAGAACCATCGATTGATAGCAGAGACCTACTTGATAACAAGGAATGCAGATTTATTGCTGAAAGAAACCTTTCCAGAATTGCTTCATTGTGGTGCTCCTTATGATCTTACAAAAATAGTTCACGATTTCTTGTCGTTGCCTTGATTACTTCTAAGTGAGCACGAGGTTGTTGTCCAAGAACATGTATGTTGTTAGAAGATTACCACAACTCCAAAAGTCTAGTATTTCCAAAACATAGTAGCCCTTAGGTGCTGCTCCATTTGAATCCGGCCAAATTCACTCAAGAAATTAGGCCCACATAAATAGCCTAAATATTTAGTATAATAAATTCTCGCATTTTAAATCTATCACAGCAATGTAGTTATTAGAATCAATAGAATTTATTTATTTCCGGTATTAACATTTAGTTATTTCCTTTGCTTGAGTGGCCTTTTTAAGTATTTTTTTTATCTATGTATTTATGAATTTATGTCTTTCCTATTTTATGAGTAATGTAATATGCATGTAAACCCCTTTTTCCTATCAATAAAAACATCCCGCTCTATTTCTGAATTCTACATGATATCAAAACCGTGGATCTAACCCAAGCTGTCATCACTACATCACCCTAGTCGCCATAACTTTCTGAATTTATGTCTTTCCTATTTTATGAGTAATGTAATATGCATGTAAACCCCTTTTCCTATCAATGAAAATATCCCGCTCTATTTCTGAATTCTACATGATATCAAAACCGTGGATCTAACCCAAGCTGTCATCACTACATCACCCTAGTCGCCATAACTTTCTGAATTTATGTCTTTCCTATTTTATGAGTAATGTAATATGCATGTAAACCCCTTTTCCTATCAATGAAAATATCCCGCTCTATTTCTGAATTCTACATGATATCAAAACCGTGGATCTAACCCAAGCTGTCATCACTACATCACCCTAGTCGCCATAACTTTCTGAATTTATGTCTTTCCTATTTTATGAGTAATGTAATATACAGGAATTTTTTTGTCCCTCTTTCTCTTCTACCGCAAGAATTTTTCTGCCACGGGAATTTTTATGTCCTGCAGCTTTTTTTTCCTGCCTCAATATTTTTCTGTCATTTTCTTTATGCTGCAGGAACATTTTCTGCTGCTCTCTTTTTTACGTCCGGATTTTTTTCTACCACCTTTTGTGTCGCAGGAATTTTTTTGTTTTGCCGCTTTTTTTCTATAGTCAGAATCCTTCCATCTCTCGGCATCACAACCTCACCTTTGGCTGGGTTGGAATCAAGGCGGACTCCTCCACAGTCGAGCTTACTTCCTACGGTGTGCTTAAGTCCATCAAAGGATTGACACGGACCGAAATCCCTCTGCAGACATGAGGACCTGAAAATCACGTGAACTTCTTTATCACAACCCATAAACTTAACGGCTCTAAATTCCTCCAATGGTCCCATGCTGTGTCATTATTCGTTAAATAATGAGGTAAATTCGGCCATCTCACAGATATGATTCGTGAACCTCCAAAGGCTGATTCGATAAATGCAGCAAGGGAAGTGGAGAATTTCACATTCATGTCATGGCTGATTAATTCCATGCAAACCTCGATTGAACATTAGTACGTGTTTCTTC